AGTCTGTGCCAGATGAACCCAATCAACACACTGCGACCTTAATTCTTCAAGGTCAATTCAGATTCTTTTTCCTCCCTTCTACATGTATGTGTTACAAATGGTTTCTTGCAGTCAGATTTCAGACCAAAAAATTTTGCATATCCCAAGCCCAGATATGAAACAATTCGACATTTGTGGTGTTTGAATGGAGCGTTTTTAAGTCTGAATCACCGTGAGACTGATCTTCGAGGTGGCCGTTGGGCTCGGCGGAGCTTGGACACAGACGCGGATGTCACGTACAGTCCACAGACCAGGAGAAAATCCCTGCTAGGAATTCGATATACGCGCATGCGCAAGATTTCGCGGTGAGTGACGACCGATCCTAAAAGCATTCGTTCCACAACCACTGAACGAACAACAGACGACAGGCTTTCATGTGTTCTAATGGGTACAGCTTTAAGATTACCTCACAGTGGCACAGCGATTTAATCTAGAATATTATCACAACACCCACAGAACATATTAGAGCTGTACAGTCCGCAGACCAGGAGAAAATCCCTGCTAGGAATTCGATATACGCGCATGCGCAAGATTTCGCGGTGAGTGACGACCGATCCTAAAAGCATTCGTTCCACAACCACTGAACGAACAACAGACGACAGGCTTTCAAGTGTTCTAATGGGTACAGCTTTAAGATTACCTCACAGTGGCACAGCGATTTAATCTAGAATATTACCGCAACACCCGCAGAACACATTAGAGGTGCACTCACTACACGCTACTCTTAACTGCTTGATGTTTTCAGTCTGTGTAGTAGCGTAAAACTCTGACGTATCACACTTCCCACCAATAGCAGCCCTCTAGTCCACCAGGCAGTAAACATTCCCCCCGCACCGCACCAGCAGGGATTTTCTCGTCATCTGTGGACAGTACTGTAAACTTCTGCAGAGAGACCAATGAGTTTGTCTCGCCTTAACAAAGAAGAAGAATAAAATGAAAGCTGAATTCCAAAGTCTGGAGCAACGTTTTGGGAATTGGTATTCTGAAGGAACTTAACTCCCTTCGAGCTCAAACGACACGGAAATAGCACGCGTCGCCATTACAAGTCAATATTTCGTTTCAAAATGGTAAACATTTTAAGGAACTTTCTGGAGGCACCTTTCTGGTAAATACTATTGTAAACAAACAGATTCAACTGCCTTCCACTACTGATTCACAACTTCATCTCCAAGGACCCACACACCATCGTAGACAGTACGCGTCGCCTTTAGGAAAAATAACTTTCTTTGAAAAACGATTAAATATAAGAAAAAAACATTTTCTGGAACGTCACAGATAAACCAGACACAAAATGCGTTGCCTCCAGAGGCCCGTCCTTCCTGTTCAATAACGGTACATAAGCAAGCCACTCAAAATTCTTAAGAACGTTCCTGGTAATCGCTATTTTATATAGATTCAAGTACGAACTACGAACTGGCTGCAGGGATACATAAATAATAAGACTTTTATTTCTGAAACCAAGGAAAAAATTCTGTAGCCTATTCAAATTTCTGAAGTACTAATGCACTCAAAGAGATACTACACCCAAGGACCACAAGCTCCAGGCAGATGAATTTGTAACATCCTGTTAATCTTCAAAACCCTGCTCTCCATATCCGGAACATATCACATCGCATTAGACTAAAGCTGTGCCACCCGACATTAATCACACACTGCACCCAACTGCTTCTACAGACAACCAGCCGCCTCCGTCTGTAGGTACATCATTATTGGACAACATCCTGGCTCACGTCGGCACCCGGCTGTCGCGACGCGTAGGTATCAAGCATGCGTAGGAACTGTTGGAACCCCTTCCCGTTTGCAACGCAGAATAATGACCGACAGATTATGTTTTACGTCTAACATACCTGTACCAACACAAGGCCGCTTTTGAACCAGACGTCTGTTGACTGCTCTCATGATTTGCAATCGTATTTACCAAATACCAAATGAAAAGAAAGACAGTGTTTCACATGGCACGTAAACTAAACACAAGACTCTTCTTCCCAGAATTAGCTTGAAAGATTTTGGGTTCTCAAGGCAACGACTACGAACTAGCCGATGACGACAGGAGAACATAACTGTGCAAGATCACAAAATGGCAACAGTGGAGAAGTATCACGTTCTCATCAGCAGCACAGCGTGTACCTCGAAATACTGCAGAATACCAATTATAATGCGAGCAACTGCAGCTCACTGCAAAACCGAGCGTTATTTATAGGCATGTGAAACGAGACAGGCGACGGGAATGACCTCGTTAACTTTCAATCTGACCCCAGAAGTCAGGCTAAAATAATGTCGAGGAGTTGCCAAAGAAACCAACGTACTGCACTGCACTTGTGAAGGAAACTGAAAGTGATTACACCCCAGAAGCCCGCAGACTGCGGCCGGTCCGTAAATTCTACTTGTTCCAATGTCCGTGAGTAAACACAATGCCTTTCAACACGCAGTAAGTGGATTGAAAATGTTCTACTGTATGCTGTTTACACTATCGTTACACAGCGTATTGTTTTCGAGATATCGACCACCTGATATCGAAAGTAAAAGTGATGAGTTAGCTCTTGCTGTTATTCTCACACGAGACACTTCTTCGTGCAACACATCAAACAAAGAAACGCTTCTGATCTGACCAAGCGCAGTCCGTACACAAACAAGAGCGGAAATGATGGAATTGTGGTTTAATATTTGTAATATATTCAACGACGCTTTCTGTAGCTCAGACAAAACAGCAAGGTTGTGGAAGGAAGCGGTCGTGGCCTGATTTAATTTCTATCTCGACGTTTACCTGAAGAGACTGTGAAAAATAAATAACCGGTCTTCGAGCCAAAATTTGAACCAGGAATCTCTGGAACACGAAGCAGGAGTGATAACCACTCGACCACGGAGTTCGGTGGAGTAGTTTCAAATGGAATACAAGATTGCACTGTATAGTACATGAAACAAGAAGGCAGGATACGTAAACCGATTTGAGTCTTAAATTAATTTCCTCGTGAATGCAATTCTTATTTGCTACCTTTCTTCCCAAATGTTTAAACTTTGCCATATTTAGTGGCTACCGTAATATAATGATTTTGTCCTGCATTTTAATGATGAGACATTAACATGGGATTCTGGGCCAATGTGATTATTAGAATCTAACAGAGCTTCTATACAGTAAATTAACAGCGTGTACAGCACTTCAGAATGCTTTCAGTGTACGAACAGGACGTGTATTATTTTTATACATGATCTGGACAGAATCATTTGACCCATACAATTCAAAGACCCAGATGCATTCCGAGTCTCAGTACCATGACACCGTCAAGGAGGGAACTGCAAGTGACTGCCAACGATCGAGCGTAGCGACACGTGTTTCCTCCTTGAATGACTTTGCACGTCACGGAGCCAAGCAGCCCAAGGTTACGACTTCCATGTCAGTGTTCCGAAATCGAATGAGACATTTTTCTTCCACGTCTCTCAAAACACAAACAGTTCAATGCTTTGCTGCGTGGTACTATTAATAAACACGCCAATGTCACTCTTTCTTGCTTATTCTTGGAACAATCTCTGTAAAACAAAAGAATTCTCTTTCTCTGGAACGTTTTTAGGCGCGTAGAGGGGCCCTGCGAGCGCCTATTAAAATCGCATTTTCTGTCTGTACGCATGTAAAATTTCGAGAAAGCTGAACGTATTTTAATGAAATTTGATACTGGGGAATTTTATTAAAATCTGTCGAGATATCACCGTTTTGGTCAAAATCTGACAACAATAACGTACACACTACATGAAGACCTGGTTGCTGTTCTACGCCGTCGTTCACAAAAGTCAAAAGGTCAGGAAATTCCCGCGTGGGGAATCCCAAAACTTTTGGTTCTGTTAACTCAAAGGCAAGGTTGAGCAGTTAAAGAACAACTATCACATTTACAAGGAACATGCTGCAGACTAAACCGTTATTACCAATGCATATAGAGATCAAAAACTCACAATTCACTTATTTCCGATAGTCATTAAATTAATTTCCTACGCTTTAGGGTTTATTATCATTGGTCTTCCTACAGAAGTTCTAAACATCCACCCAAACAAAGAAATATAACATGTCGCTTGATATGAAATATTTAAAAAACTTTTAAACCTAACCCGCTGATAAATATTCACCACAATGATTTTCAAACAGCAGCCGCACGTATGAAATTTTACATAATAAATTTAAATTAATACACCTTTAATTCCAAGAATACCTTGCTCACCTCCTCAGGCCTAATTACTGGAAGTCATACAGAAGTTAATTCTGTGTGGTAAATGTTCAAGAAAGCATATTGTGTGACCTGACATCTACGTCAGTGACAGATTTAACTACAGGCGCTCGACAATCAGCTGTTTCTCACAACCACAGTTACGAGTGATCGACTGCAATTCTCAGTGAATTTATTACATATACGAATTAACTTTAAGGCATATTCAAAAGCGAAGCTCGTCTTAGCAATACTATTAGCTAGCCATTAGAACACCATACATCTGCAGGTATATTCTGCGTATGGTACGATTGCACTGACGACGGTCGTTAAAGGTATATCACAAAACATCATTCGATTCATGCACGAAGACTGGGAAACAAGCACTACAGTTCAAGGTTTGATGAATCAACAAATGTGAAACTATTCAAATTTACAAAAATGTTATGTTCATGCCACAGTGCGCAATGATAATGAAATAAACAGTTAAATGTATTTTTATATTCACTGTAAAGCGAAGTGAGAGGGCAATCGAGATCATATTGATCGTTTCTGAAATACATTACCAAGAAACATTCAAAAAAATTATTTACAACGCGAAAGCTTTACTATTAAATTCAATCAATTAATATCATGAAGTGACAATCATACAAGTAAAGACCCCTAAGATCAGTATTAACTGAAAATGGTCAAGTCAGTGACAAATGACATTTCCTTTCAAACAGTAAATGATCATTCTTTTGTATGATGATAAACATCTGACACCCTTACCTCCAAGAACATCTTCATTAACTGACTTTGGAGTGGATGCCATTGTAAAACACACACACACACCAACCGAACACCTCAACAGTACAAAACAAACTGCCTAATATCCGTATGCCTGAACTCTGTTCTGAACCTCCGACGCTTTGTTTTGATAACACATCAACATGAGACGTCACAAGCAGTCTCTACCACTGACGACGTCGCAATACAAACTTGTACATTAAACTCGGACATTAAAGAAACCAAATATACAGAGTTATAGCCGTTATCATTGAGTATGTAGTAACGAAATACTGGATAAATTGTGTTATATGGCAATTTTAGAAACGTGTTACTTATTTAATACAGAGTATTTTATATGTTTAAATTGTGATTTTGAGTTAAATGGTACTGAAACCACATGAATATCTCCAGATAGATGGCAGCAACTGTTTGATGTCGAACAGCTGATTGTGTTTTGGAAGCGTATCCCGAAGTTTATGTAAGTGTAATTTGTTTTAAACTGACTAAAACTGAGTAGGAAGAATGTAAACGATAGGCGGAATTAAACACATATGTATTCAGACAACTAATCTGTTGTTTTTGTATCGGGAGGTATTCATATTAAAAGGTAAAATTATTGTTGTCATTCGTTATCCGGTTTGTGTTGAGGCCTAAATTTGTTCTTCGAAAATGGTCGCTCAAAGCTGTCAGCTTGACCTACAGAGATATTTTTAATTTGTACAAATTCCCTTCACTTCCTAACTAATTTTGAAATAACGAATGTTACTAACGTTCTAACAACGTAATATAAATACTTTTTATAAACAGGCGAGATGGTTTTAATTTATCAGTTTATTATCCATATGTGTCATTTCAGTAAGGGGCCCACGTAACCTACTTAGTGTTATTTTAGATTCCGTCGCCCCATTTAATTTATAATAATAGCAAAACACTCGGAAAAAATTGATCAGTGTATAAAAGTCTTAAACTAGTGGTGCTTTTTGTTGTGTTTATATTAACGTAGACTTGGTTGTTGGCTTCATTTTCCAGTCATTATGAACTACTGTTACAACAGTAGTTTTAAATGCTATATATCATTGATACAACAAGCATATTTTTAACAGTGGTTGGAAACACGGTTGGTAAGGTAAAGGCATCCATTGTCAACAAATAATTTAATAAATATAAAATACAAACTGTCAAAATATAACTTGTGATCAAGTAAATCCACTTATTAGATGCTGGTTTCAATTAATGGTATAGTCACGAAGATCACGATCGAGTCGTTGGTGCTCATTTGAATGTGGGAGTTACCAGTTTCAAACCTTCGCTCATAGACCAGATGCCCTGACTTTTCTTTTCTGTGATTTTCCTCAGTCCTCCAGCAAATGCCAGGCTAGCACCTTAAATTAGGACATGACCACTTCCTTCCATATCCTTTCCAGTTCGTCATTCATTAATCATCCTACCTTTTGAAAGTTCATAATCTGAACTACTATTGCTGCATTGTTATGGAACCTCAGATTAGTTTAACAGATAATGTGTAGTACACAAAGATAATGCTTTATCATCACAATTATTAAACACCAACATGAAAGCTATTGGGTAATAATAACCCTAGTCAATGCTTATATTTTGATTATGAGACGGAATAGGAAACAAATGGGCGAATATTGTTAATTTTTTTATTAGATATGGTATTCTGGAACATTCAGATTTCATAGTATACCCCAAATTTTGTATAATTTTAAAAACCTTTATATGCTTTTCTGTGTAAGAAAACCATTTTGAAATAACCAAATTCCCACACTATCTCAGTAATTTGTCTTATAAAATAAAATTTACTGTAATCATTCTTTTCTGAAGGCATTTTTAGTTTTTTTAATACTCTGTGTAATTTATTTTCTGAAGCTCCTTTCATAAGTATTGAAGACAGTGGGAAAGTAAACCAATTTCTTTGTGTTTCTATACTCATATTTACTATTTTAATAAAAGAGACAGCAGTCTTCAGTTACTTAATATTATTTTAATGTTTCACACTGTTCTGTATTACCATTTTATTCCATTACCATATACTAGAATACAATTATAATACTGAATTGGAAAATTCATAATATCCCAGTATTTATATGGAGGGACTGAAGAAATTCATGTTAGTCATGTTACAACTATAATACGTACAATTTTGTATATTTTGTTTTTAATACTTGGTTACCCAATTTTTGCTTTTATGTGCATATGAACATTTTCAGAACTTATAATTTATCACTTTATTTTACCACGTTGATTGGAACAGCAATAATAAATCTAGCTTATGTTTCTGAAGTACCTAGTTTAGAACCTTGATTAGAATAACAACTATCCCATTGTAGGTTTTTCATAGTTTTCTTTACTCATTTCTGTAAAGAGCCATAACTGACTTTCTTCCCAGCTAACCTAACCAAACTAAACCTAACCTAACCTAACCAAACCTAACCTAACCTAACCTAACAATCATACCATCTTCCTTGCCACTACACAGTCTTGCTGTTAACTTACCAAACTCATCATTACTTTATTTCTGCAGCTAATTACCAACTGTAATGATCATGAAGATACCAGATGGCTCTGGAAATGGCTACTATGGTCACGACTCTTCCGTTATTTCGTATCTGTCTGACAGTTCAGATGTTGGCAATGGTGATGATGTGGACTCACCAACATTAGATGGTGATTTTTCAGAGTATATGTGGATGGAAAATGAAGAAGAATTTGACAAGCAAGTAAGTTGTTGGGTAATGTAAAAATATAGGCATGCACATTTATGTACCTTTATATTACCCATTTCCCAATTGGAATTCCACTGATCATTGCTTCTGTGTGATTTAGTCAACTTCCTGACCCAAGTTGATTTAAATCTGCATTGGCAATAAACTTGAGAATAAGATTCCTAATAAAATTGTTCATATTTGGATAGGTGATGCAGCAGTTGGAAGAAGAAGCACTCATGGAGCAGTGCATAGAAGCCATGTTGGAAGATGAACGTGAAATACGTAATATTCACAATCAAGCAATTGCAGCTAACGGTGTAGAAGTTACAGATATTCGCCAGCCATGGAGCACTGGCACTGACTACGTCCAGCCCGCACTGTGAGAACCCTGCTCTCGACACAGAACTCATATATTATGGAACACGTAGCTGTCACATTGGTGTTAGCAGCTGACCAAGAATTACACGGCCAGAAGTCTTTATATGAAATTTAGTGTGGTGTGTCCACAGTAATGAATTTAAACACTAGTGTAATAGTGCATTCAGTAATTAACGTTGGTTTCTGTCTGGAGAACACTGCCTATTACATATGTTACAGCTACATGTTTAAACATTTAGGTATCATCTTCAAACCACACATTTGTTATGTCATTTAAGCATGATAAATAACTTTACATGAAGTTTCAGGCTCATGATACCTTTCCTCTCATCTTCTTCCCCTTCCTCAGTGTCACAAGCAGAAATAACTAACTAACTAGATGGCTTACCGAACCCGAATGTTCATCACCGAACTAACCAAAGCCCTCCATCGGACCTTGTCCTGGGCCAACAAAATCCAGTCTCCTTCGACTCCTATCTCCCATAGATCCTGCCTGACATTATCCTCCCATCTAAGTCTAGGTCTCCCCTCAGGCTTCCCAACCAATACCTGGTGCACACCTCTTGTCCCATCCATGCGCGCTACATGCCCCGTCCATCTCATTCTTCTCGACTTGGTCACCCTGACAATATTGGGGGAGGAGTACAAATTTTTAAGTTTCTCATTATGTAGTTTTCTCCAGACTCCATCGTCTTCTCTCCTAGGCCCAAATATCCTCCTCAACACCCTGTTCTCAAACACCTGCAATCTGTGTTCCTCCCTCAGAGTGAGAGACCATGTGTCGCACCCATACAAAACAACAGGCCCACAAAGAGAACAGTGAACAGATTATGTGCAAAAATATAATTATGAGATTAAAAGTTGCCAAAATCATGTATTTTCAGTTTCTCTGTGTGCAGGGCTCCATTTGCAATTGAGTGGGAGCAAATAGGTTTGCGTTAGTTTGTGAAGCCGAACACTTGCCTCCATCTAATGCTGAGGTCTAGAAGGAATGGACCTCCACCTTAGTAATCATGTTTAATTAAATTTGGTCTGATTTATATTGGTAACTGATTGATATGAAGATCTAAAAGTTTGTTATTGGATGATATATTTTAATAAATGTAGAGTAGATGGAAAAATTCATCAGACAAAAATTGTGGCCACTGAAGAGCTGTACATTTTCATCTTGGTATTGTCATTTTAAAGATAATGGCTATCAACTACTAAGTTGGACTCCATGAATGAACTGTGCCTGTTTGTGACTGGGATACTGGGAATGACCCGTTCTTCAAGTGCCTGAGCACTGCGGGTCCCAACTTTTCGTTGGCTCGATCTATAGACATTCGGTAGGACGATGGATTGGCCCGTCGCAAGGCCTCTCTACTTGTACACAGGACAGAACAACGCAGAAAAACGCGGACAAACATCCATGGCTTGAGTGGGATTCGAACCCACGGTCCCAGCGGCACAAGGCCCACGCCTCAGACCGCGCGGCCACTGCGGACCCCCTGTTTGTGACACTGCATTTTTTAAATCTCTTTACCATGTGAACGTTGTACTGAGATTGATAGCCATCAATTTATGTTTGTGTTTTGTTCTCTTCTTGCCAGTGCTGCTGATCTGTGTGAAACCATGGAGAACCTGTCTGTCCAAGATGATTTAGCAAAACAGGTGAGTAAACATAATGGCCTAACTCCTGTGGTAATATTCCCAGCACTTCTGCGTTGTATTTAGGAGGTTTTGCATTTCACTTTTAGAGTGGGGCTTGCTCTTCTGACTGAGGGTTTTGTGGTTTGCAGACAAGCGATGCCATGACTACATATACATAATACTTGCCAATTCACCATGTACAATCGTCCTTCCATGCTTTATCTGTACTGTTTAAGTCGCTAGTGTTTTATAAAAATGGCAGTGTTCTGGGATGTTGTTTGGTAGATGTTTACTGACATTTCAGGGGTGCTTACTGCTCTAATCATTGGGGCGATGAGATTACCCTGATTATGGAGGCAGTAAGCATCTGTAAAATGTCAGTGAACTTCTGCCAGACTACGTGGCAGCATAACCTAGAAGACAGCCATCTTCATTCTGTCTGCCGTGAGAACCTCAAATCCTACTGGGCTAGAAACAATTATTAAAAAGTTTATATTTTTTCAACAGATATTAATAGCGGTGAGAGACGGCAGGTACTAAGAACCTTCACTCAGATGTCTGATAACATACAATTGCTTATCCCATTCAGTTAATTGACCATTGATGTTTTTGAAGATACTTGTGTGGCATTGGTGATGTGTTTGTTTTATGTTATACAGAGCACATTGAACCCAGATGCAGCTGAATTTGTTCCCCAGCAACAATCTGCAGTCTCGTCTGGTCCAGAAAAACCGCTTTACTCGGAAACATCGTAGAAGTTTCCGAGTAATGGCTTCACCTGATACAGAGCAACAGCATTTCATTTGGTAGGCTGTGAGGGAGTCCCTGGAAATGAACTTCATTAGTCATTGTGAATATTTCACTCACATCTCCTATGTATGCGTGCGTGTTCCAGTATGCATGAATGTGTGTCATGTGAATGTGTGCATGCAGGCCTAGATTTGTTTGCGTGCTCGTGTGTCTAAATGCAGTATTTTAAGGTTGTTACATTCATTTGCAATCTCATGCAAATGAATTGCTGGAGATGCACCACCATTTTCATTTTCTATTTACATGTTATAAGAGATATATTTTTTTTTAATCTCAAAAGTGCTTATTATGAATATCTTAGCGTGGAAATTATGAAATGATCTAGAAGTTTAAAGCACTTCATATTTTGTACTAGATTCGTATGTTAAAACATACGCAGATTTCCGTAAAGACCATTATGTAGAAAGATCTGAATTAGTAATACATATATATATATATAATTGGAATTTCCACAATTTATTTCATTAAAGACAGTGCGATGTTTAATGTACATCATTGACTTTTACAGTGAAAGAGAAGAGTACAAATTAATGAAATTAATAATACTCAGTAAGTGTGAGAGATTGGATGTTTAGTTAAACCGAGGTTTATTTTGATTTCACATTACTTTGGATTGGTGTTGTGGGTTGTCATAACATCATTTACAACAATGACAATGTTGTTTATCATCATGTGCACTTCTGTAACTTATCAAATGCTTATGATGTTAGTTAAGACGGAATTTTGGATTTGTTTATGTAGTTCATGTAAAAAAAAAAAATTATCTATTTTCTTTGCTGTAATTCATGACTCATAGCTTCAGCCATTGGTGTATTATATTTCCTCATGCTGTGAAAGAAAAACCACAAATTTCTTTTCTTTATTTTTCATTTGAAGATAACGTGAGACTTTATGCATTTTCAGGAATAGTTGAGCCATTACAGATCTCATGAATATTTTCTGCAGATGTATTATTAATTATATTTATTGTTATGTTTGTTTAAACCCCAAAAGGTTGTGCAGTTGGTATGGGAGAGGAATGCAGCTGTAAGCTAAGTGGAATATGTGATTATAAATTAATTTCATGCACCACACAATAATCTGGATGAAATATAAGTTAAAATACACAAAACATTCCCATCAGTAGTGTTGTGCATTTTGTGTGGCAGCCAACAATTGCCTAAAGAACTTCATTATCCTCCGACTTCATTTCCCCCGCTAATTAATATTGATATAAATTTGTATAAAAAGGTTTTTTAGGATAAGACACACATTGTGCTTCATTCCATTTACTAATGCATGTTTTTGTTAAAATGAGGCTTCCTGAATAAGTAAATACACACTTTTTAATTTTCACCGGGGGTGGACATGCAAACGAAACCTGAAGTGAGCCTCCTTAGACTTGGCTGTCTTGCTAAAACCCTCCAATTAAAGTCGTGTGCATTAAAATTGCTGGCTTAGTAATTTAGGATGGTTAAAGAAATACTGTTCCAT